GGGGGATAAGGCTGGGCTGCGAGGTTGGGGCCATGTTTGGAGGGTGTTAAAAAAACAACGCCATTTGTATTTGATCCTAGAAGTACCAGGGAGCCACTGAAATTTCTTGAGCAGGGAGTAACATAGTCAGACCTACCCTCCAGGAAAAACACTTTGGCAGCTGAGTGGAGGATGGATGGGAAGGAGAGAGACTTGACGTGAGACCAGTGAGAGGCTATGGAAGTTATTCCAGGGGAGAGATGATGAGGGCAGAACGAGGGTGGGGGCCCCCTGAGTGGAGGGAGAGGTAGGAAGTGAGAAATGTGGAGGCAGAAACTTCCAGAACTGACAAGAGCCTGCCTATGTGGGAGGAGACAGGAAGCAGGTGAGGACACCGAGGCTGTGACCCTAAATGGATGAAAAGAATAGTGGTGTCCTCAGCAGAAGGAGGGACATCTGGAAGAAGGGTGGGTTTGGAGGGAAAGAGGGTGAGTTTTAAAAAATGAGATAGGTGAGATTCCCAATGTCTAAGAGATCTATGTGACCATGAGTATCAAATGATGGGGAGTCTCTGACTCTAGGCAGAATGATTTGGAGAATCATACCAGCTACAATTCCTGATGTATCTTTAGGTTTATGAGGATAACAGTGACTACTCCTACTACCAGAGGGGGAAGAGGCAGCAGAGGTGGTTCAGTGAATAGACAACTGGGCCTGGAGTCAGGATAGACCTGAGTTCTGACAGCCTCAGATACTTACTAGCTTTGTGACCCTGGGCATACCATTTAACCTCTGCTTGACTCAGTTTCCTCAACTATAAAAAGGTATAATAAAGCACATATCTCCCAGAGTTGTTGTTAAGTGCAAATAAGACAATATTTATAAAGCCCATACATAGTATCTGGAACATAGTAGTCACTAAAGCAATAAGTATTTCCTTCCTATGACTAATGTGGTGTAGGTATAATAGAGAATACACCCCAAATGTTCACATGGGCTATTTATGCTCAACCTGTGGTAAAACATTCTGAGCTCCTGTTGGTCTGATCAGCCACAGTTGAACACATTGAAACTTGACTCTAGCATAGTGATGTCATTTGGGTGCTCTTTGAGAATAAAGGACAACACTCAGGTACAGTAATATTTTAATCTCCCTTTTACAGATAGACAGGTTTTTGCTCAGCCATGTTTGGTGTGTAGGAATAATAGTGTTTGGGAAAAAGGCACAAATAGAAACAAATGCCATTACTCAAGGCTCCTCCACATCCCAAACCTTGGTTCAGATCCCCCTACACTACCATCACTATTGGTCCCCCTAACTCAGAGAGACATAAGCTGGTAATCAACAAGATGGTATCTGGAGCCCCAGGTGTGATGGAGACATGCTCTCTACAGTTCTTAGAAACAGATATCTAAAAAAAACAAAGAGGAGCATGATGATGAAGTAAATGCAGGGACACACCTAAATTCTTCCAAATTCCCCTCCAAACAACTTTAAAACAATACCTCAAAATAAATTCTGGAGTGGCAGAACCAAGCAAAGAATGTGTTGAAATAATTTTATGGCCCAAGAGAACTTTGAAGGTTGAGAAGAAAAGCCTGTCTCACTGGGGCATTTCTATATATTATTATCAAAGCCCAGCAACAAGAGATAAATAAATTTAAAATAACTATAGACAATATAAAATATTTGGGAGTCTACCTTTCAAGAAAAACCCAGGAACTAAGGAACTATATGAACACAATTACAAAACACTTTTCATACAAATAAAGTCAGACCTAAACAATTGGAAAGGTATCAATTGCTCTTGGGTAGGCTGAGCCAATATAATAAAAATGACAGTTCTACCTAAATAAATTTACTTCAGTAAATTAATTTAATTCAGTGCCATACCAACCAAACTACCAAAAACTTGAAGAGTTAGAAAAAATAATAACAAAATTCATCTGGAAGAACAAAAGGTTAAGAATATCAGGTGAATTAATAGGGAAAAAAAATGCAAAGGAAGGTGGCCTAGCCACACTAGATCTAAAACTTTATTATAAAGTGGCAATCATCAAAAGTGTTTGGTACTGGCTAAGAAACAGAATGGTGTATCAGTGGAATAAATTAAGTACACAAGACACAATAGTCAATGACTATACTAATCTACTGTTGATAATCCCAAAGACTCCAGCTTCTGGGATAAGAACTCACTATTTGACAACAACTGCTGGGAAAATGGGAAAATAGTATGGCAGAAACTAGGCATAGACCAACATCTAACAACATATACCAAGATAAAGTCAAAATGGGTACATAATTTAGGTATAAAGGTTGATACCATAAGCAAATTAGGTGAACAAAGAATATTTTACCTGTCAGATCTATGGAGAAGGGAAGACTTTATGACCAAACAAAAGATAGAGAACATTATGAAATGCAAAATGGATAACTTTGATTACGTTAAATTAATTTTTTTTCTTGCATAAAGCCAATGCAACCAAGATTAGAAAAGAAGCAGAAAGCTTAGAAACAATTTTTTTCTGAGGCAATTGGGGTTAAGTGACTTGCCCAGAGTCACAAAACTAGTGTGTGTTATGTGTCTGAGGCTGGATTTGACCTTAGCTCCTCCTGACTCCAGGTCCAGCGCTCTATCCTCTGAGCCACCTAACTGCCCCTAGCAACAATTTTTATACCCAGTGTCACTAATAAAGACTTCATTTCTCAAATATATAGAGAACTGAGTCGAATTTATAGGAATACGAGTCTTTCCTCAATTGATAAATGGTCAAAGGATATGAACAAGCAGTTTTCAGATGAAGAAACGAAAGCTATCTATAGTCAGATGAAAAAATATTCTAAATCACTGTAGCAGATTGTATATATGACACAAAAGAAAAATGATAAATGTTGGAGAAGGTGTGGGAAAATTGGAACAATAATGTATTGTTGGTGGAGTTTTGAATTGATCTGACCATTCTGGAGAGCAATTTAGAACTATGCCCAAAGGGCTATAAAACTGTGCATACACACCTTTTGATACAGCAATACCACTACTAGGTCTACATCCCAAAAAGATCCTAAAAAAGGGAAAAGGACTCACATGAACAAAAACATTTACAGCAGTTCTTTTTGTGGTGGCAAAAAATTGGAAATTGAGGGGATAGCTATAAATTGGGGAATAGCTGAAGAAGTTGTGGTGTATGAATGTAATGGAAAACTGTCATTCTATAGGGACTGATGAGTAGGTGGATTTCAGAAAAACCTAGAAAGACTTAAATGAACAGATACTGAGTAAAGTGAGTAGAAACAAGAGAACTTCGTACACAGTAACAGCAACATTATGTGATAACTGACTTTGACAGACTTGGCTCTTCTCAGCAATACAATTATCTAAGATAATTCTAGAAGACCCGTGATGGAAAATGTTATCCACATCTAGAGAAAGAACTATGGACCCTCAATGCAGAGTGAAGCACACTATTTTCTCTTTTTTTCTTTTTTGTTTTTTCTTTCTCGTGGTTTTTCCCTTTTGCTCTGATTCTTCTTTCATAACATGACTAACATGGAAGTACATTTAATATGATTACACTTGTATAACCTATATCAGATTGCTTGCTGTCTTGGGGAAGGGAAGGGGAGGAAGGGATGGAGAAAGAAAATTGGAACCCAAAATCTTATAAAAGTGAATGTTGAAAAGTAACTTTACATACAATTGGAAAAAATGAAATATTATTAAGTGAGGGAAAAAGGAGAAAGGATATACACTACAGCTGAGAGTTTAGTAATTATGAAATCATCCACAGAATTAAAACTGGAAGGGACCTTAGAGGACATTTTTTCGAATTCATTCCTTTTACAAAGGAAGAAATGGAAGCTCAGAGAATGAATGAATGAATAAACAAGTGGTAAGGAAGCACCTAATTAGGTAACTGAATAGTTAGAAATAAAAGACAACCATTTATTAAGTACATACTACATATCAAGCACTGAATATACAAATACAAAAATGAGGTAGTGCCTGCCCTCATGGAGCTTCCATTCCAACAGGAGGAACAAAAGGGGGAGAGGAGTGGGGGCCAGGGCAGGGAGCTGTGCTTTGGGAAGTTTGGGGAGTGGAACAGTAAAGCAGTCCATTGACACACTTGCCGCAGAGGCAATGGATTCAGTTACAGTGCTCAGAGCAAGATGTGGAAAAGTAAGGAAAGTGTTTGGGGCTGGGGGGAGATGATGGACCCACAGCATCAGAGTGGAAAATGACCAAGAGAATTCTGAAAGGAGGGAAAGGACTTGCCTGGAGTCTCACAGATGGGTGATAGCAGAGCCCGGTCCAGAAGCCAAGTTTCTCAGCTCTCATAGATTCTCTGTTCATTACACTCTGGGAGTGTCCTGTTAAAGTCTACATATTTCTGGCAAGAACTGGCATATCAAGCCATCTTCTGTCATAATACCTTGGCAAGAATGAGTGGATCAGACCCTCCCCAATGCTAGCCAGGGGATACCCAGATGAGGACACCAGACGGACCTATTCATCTATCCAGGTGACCGGACTCCACACCTCCCCAGGGAGCTGAACTACTCCTCCACATAGAGCCCTCACCTGGCTCTGTGATGCACCCTCCTCCTAACTCAGCTGCACAGCCAATAATCACATAAGGGCCAGGCAAACACGAGCCCAGGACCCTGGGCTCCCTCTGCACTCATAAGTTACCTGTGGGCAGTGGTAGAGCAGAGGCTAGTACATGGCCTCCCTAGAGGCCATGGATGACATTAGTTGCCTTCCTGTCCCCACTCCCAACCCTTCAGCATCCATAAAGCTTCTCTCACTTTCTGACCATAGGAAGCAGTCAGGAGAGAGAATGTCTTGTCTCCAAGGGGATCACAGGAAGGAAAGTGATTTTCCAGAAGTGGGCCCACAGCAGAGCAGCAGCTGATCCAGAAGTCAGACTTTCATCTGCTGGGGCCCCCACCCACGCAAACAAATACTCTTAATGCTGGGCCTAAATTGTCCTCTGATTTTCTCCTGCTCTGTCCCTAGAACGCCAGGAAGGAGCATTCTCAGTGACTGGACCTGCTCAGCTCGTTCAGGCCAAGCAGGGAGAAGACGTCACACTCTCCTGTGAACTGTCCCCTAAGATGGATGCTCGGGACATGACTGTGAACTGGTTCAGAAACCAGACCCTTGTGCACAGGTACCCCATTAGGGAGAAGCTGGAGGCATCCCAGGGCACTGAGTTCAAGGGGAGGACAAAGCTGCTGAAACGTGACATGGCTAAGGGGAAGGTGACCTTGAGGATCCAGCAGGTCCAGGTCTCTGACTCTGGTCTATACACTTGCTGTGTCCAGTCACCTGACAATTATGATGAAGCCCACATTGAGCTGCAGGTAGCAGGTAGGTCCTGTGTGGTTTATGGGTTTGTTCTGAATCACAGACTGTTGGAGCTGGAAGTGACTTTAAAGAGCATTGAGTCAAAGCCCCCTCATTTAACAAATGAGGAAAATGGGGCCCAGAGAGAGGAGGGGCTTTGCACAAGATCATACAATTTGGAAATGTCTGCCTGGGAATGAGATCTGGCTTTTCTCACTCCAGATCTGGCCGTTTTCTTCTCCCTGACCCATCCCTTGGATCCTGCTTGGGTGAAATCACAGGCTTTGAGAAAGGGACAAACTCAGTGTGGGAAGTGAATCTTAACTCATGGATTTAATTCTCTTCCCACCTTCAGATCCTTCAGGTCTGGGGTTTCCCACTAAAAGATGATGGAGGCCTCCAGTCTGTCCTGAATGATTTTATTCTCTTTCAAAGCCGCCAGGTCTCACCCTGCCCTCAAAAGCCACACACTGAGTGGTATAAGAAGGGTCTGAGGCTTTCTTGACTGTCATCTGCATGGCTTCTCTCCACATTGGCCTAGTGACAAATGTTTCCTAGATGCCTTATCTGTGCTCAGCTCCGTGCTAGGTGAGGCTGTAGGGAAGAAGATGTGGCCTCATGCCTCGATGGAGCTGGAGAGATATGATGCTTAATCTGATTAAAAATAATTAGTGCATGGCAGAGTGAAAGGGAGTGTGGTAGAGTGGGTGGAGTGCTGGACTTGGAGGCAGGAGGAACTGGGTCCACATGCTACCTCTGACTCTTATTCTCTGCCTGACTATGGGCAAGTCACTGAAACTCTCTGTGCCAACTTCAATACAAAAGATGTTTATAACTGTTCCCACACTGACGGAGTCATAGCCCTTAATGTATTGATGAATATTCCTGGATCCTCAGCTGTCCCAATTTAATACATTTCTGTTCATACTAATTAAATTCATAATTATGTAAAATATGGTCATTTGTTCCAACCCAATGGAAATATGCAGTGGCATTTCAAATAATGCAACCATTTCAGGAGATTCCTTCATCAAATTAATCTAGATCTCCCTCTATAATGAAGTGATAGATCATTTGGGACATAGCTTAGTTCAGTTCCAAAAACTTTTATTTCAATACAATTTAATTCAATTTATATTTATTCATATATTTACTTCAATCCTATATAATTTAGTTCCATCCAACAATTACTAGGTACAGGACCCTATACTTTGGTGGAGGAGATAGAGAGTTCAGATAAGACATTTTCCACCTGCCCTCAAGTTGTTCAGTTTAGGAATAAGGCAGCTTAGGATAAGAAAGCAAGAGACATAATTGGAACATACAGTAATACAAGATAAGTGAATGAGAAGGGAGCAAAATGAAATGAGATGTGAAGACTGATGGGGAAGGTGTTAGTGACAGGGGAATCAGGGAAGGCTTCCTAGAGTTGGAGGTGATTACATTGGATTTAAAAGGAAGAGAAGGAGGAAGGACATTGCCAGCACAGGGAACTGCATGAGCAAAGACTTGGTAGGGGGAAGAGCAGGGGCATTGTTAGGGCACCAGGTCTGGTCCAGTCTGATTAAAGCACATGGAGGAAGAAGGGATGAGGTTAGAATGACAGGATGACACCAGATTGGGGAGGTTTAGCCCAGTATGGAGACCACGCTAAGCAGGGTGAGCTCCACACCATGGAGGCACTAAAGGTTTTGGAGGCAGGAAGGGCCTGAGCAGGGCTGTGTGCAGGGCAGAGGAGCCTGGCAGCTGATACAGGGTGCAGGGAGGCAGTGGAGGTGGGGAATTATGTATGGAAGCTAATGGAAGACTCCAGGCAGAGGGTAAGGAGGACTGGGGCCAGTGTGGTCCCAGAGAGAATAGAGAGGAAGGGAAGGCTGCGAAAGCTGTTCTGGAGGCAGGATAAAGAAGAATTGTCGGGGGTTTTGATGTTCCAGGTAAGGGAGACAGTGAGCATCAGAGATTCCTCAAACAAAGGGCAATGAGTGAATCATGGTGCCTCTGATATGAGAATGGTGAAATTAGAAGGAGGGGCAGGCTTAAGAAAGAGAAATATAAACTCAGTGTGTGATGTGGGAAGAGTGAAGTGCTGAAAAGACATCAGGATGGAGACCTCCTGAGGGGAGGTGGAGACGAGGGTGCTGAGCACAGAAGAAAAGTCGAGACTGGAGAAGGAGATCTGAACATCATGCGGTTTGAGGGGGTAGTTAAAGTTATGGTGGGAATAAAATTGCCAAGAGCACAATTGTGGAGAGAAAAGAAGATTAAAGACAGAGGCTTGACCAACATCAACTTTAACTTAATGTGGTGGAGATAAAGATTCAAGAAAACACACAGAGAAGAAACAGTCAGAAATGGGAGGAGAACCAAGAGAGTATCTTGTCTCTGAGGTCAATGAAACAGAGGAAGAGAAAATAACTGAGAGGAGGCTGGGGATGGCCAATAACATCAGATACTCCAGAGAGGTCAAGGACCATAACTCAGAGGAAGTCTACAGGATCCGTGTGTGAGGAGGCCAATGATGACTTCAGAGAGAACATTTCAACAGAAAGATGTGGAGGAGAAAGCCAGATTGAAGGGCACAGAAGAAAAAGTGTGGTAATGAGGCACTAGAGACATTTTGAGTGTTGGCAACTTTGGCTCCAATTTTAGCAGTGAAGAGATAGTTGCTGGATGAGAGTAAAAACATCATGGAAAGTCTTAGGGTTGGGGAGTTAGGCCAATGGGAAGGAGCCACTGGAAAAAGAGACCCAGAAGATGAATGAGAGTGGGCATGAATACAGAGGCGGGTCCCAAGGGAGGAAAGGAGGAAAGAGGACAGGATCAGTGGCACCAGGAGAGGAATCAGCTTTAATGAGCAGGGAGGCCTCTCCTTCTATGGGCAGAGGAAGAAAAGGGAGTGAGTGAGGATGAAGAGGAGCTCTGAGGATGAAGGAAGGGAAGGGAGAGGCCTCACACTCAGGCTCACACTGCACTGTCTCACCAGGACTCAGCCTCCTCACAAAACCTCAGAGCTGGAAGGGAGCTCAGAGACCACCTTGTCCAACCAGTAAATGAAAGGAAAGCCCTGAAATGTCCAAAATATCCGGGACACATGGTCATCCAGCCCCTGACTAAATACCTTCTAGAGCAGGCCTTGTTCCCTTCTTATTTTTTAAATTTATTTTATTCTGAACTTAAGAAATAAAACAAATGTTTTTATAATATTGAAGAATGGGGGGGTGGGAAACCGCACATCAGACTGCAAATCTATTATGTACAACTTGCAATTTCTTTTAAATACATAACAATGTTATGATGTAACTTTTTACTTTCTTTTTCTTCCACACACTCTAGAGATGGTTATCATTAAGCACAAATACACACACACACACACACACACACACACACACACACACATATATATCATTCTACACCTACTTGTAATTACCTCTTCTTCTTCTGGATGCAGATAGCAGCTAAAACAACTTGGTCGCTCAAAGTTTTTAAAACAATATTGCTGTTACTGTATACAACATTCTCTTGGTTCTGCTCATTTCACTCTTCATTATTTCATACAAGTCCATCCTTGGCCTCTACTGAGGCAGCCCCGCCCACCTGAGGAAGCTCACCTGGGCAGGAAGGCTCAATACGCTTCCTTATCACTTCTAGCTGTTGTTCCCAATTCAGCCTGTAGGACCAAAAGGAAGAAATCAGGTCCCTTCCCCAGAACACTGGTTTATCTGGTGGAAGTCAGAGATTGGGGCGGGGGGAGTTTCTAAGCAGTTGGAGGGCTGTGTCTCTGTACCCCATAAGCAGACACTACAGTGTCATCTGGTTCACAAATGTCTCTACAAGAGTTAAGCTCATTTCCCCACCTAGACAGTGAGCTCCTCAGTGACAGGGCCTACATTGTTTGACTTCTCTCCCCTGCTCCTTCCCTACCCCAAGGATCTAGGACAGGTCTGGGCAGGCCCACAGAAGACTCTCAGTAGGGACATCTTACCTTGATAGAAAAATCCTCCTCTGAAGCATTTTAGGAAGAGTCCTGAAGCAGGGGGGTACATTCATAGACTGGGGACCAGGTTTCACCCTGGCTTTTGGCATCATCCACCCTCAAGAGAATGTCCATCTGGCCATGGTTACAGCTCAGAAGATAATTAGCCCCTGAAAATCTGCCCTTCTATAAAACAGAGCAGTTCACATCTGGCATTCCAGGTGGAAGGGACCTTATCTTTCATTTAATCCAAAGCTCATTTCACTTTTGGGAAACTGAGGCCCAAAGCAGCATAGGGACTTATTTACTCTAAGTTCCTGAGAAGGACCAGAGATGGGATGTGACCCTAGTTCTCCAAGTGTGACTTGTCCCCAAGTGACTCTAAGTCACTCCTAGTGACTCCAAGTCCAGCTTCCACTTTGGTTTCAAAGGAGGGTCTCCATTTCCTCCTTTCACCAATCTCTCTAGCACACGCTGCCAGATTCATCTCCCTAAAACATAGCTAGGGTCATGTCACTTCAGCTGTTCAAGTAACTTCCCTGACTCTCTATTGTCACCATAACTGTCAAATGTCAGGACTCCTCCCTCTACTCTATTGTCCATGTTACTATGAGGAAACTGAAGCACTGGGGTCCTGGGAGGTTGGGGTGAGGGAAAGTTACTTAAATAGAGGAAAAATACTGATAGAGACCATGTTGTCATTGAATGATGTCATCTCTGGAAGGCACCTTAGAGGTTATCCGGGTCCCTCCTCTATTTACAGAGGAAGAGACTAAAGTCCAACGATCTGTTGAGGTCCAATTAGCCACCAAGTGACAGTCACAATTTGAAACCAGATCTGATTTTCCAAGGTGGGGGCTGTTTCTGCTCTCCTGTATCATACTGCCATCCCCAATCCTGTCCTTTTATAGGTGGTCAAACCAAGGTCCAGAGAGGGTAATGGACCAATGTGACAATTTAGTACAGGGCTGACCCCAGGGCTGTTGGAATCCAGGCTGCTCAGCTGAGAGCCAGAGGGAGTTTCTCAATAGGGATGTAAGAACCAAACCCAGAATGGACTTCAGAAGAGAGTAGCAAACTCTGGAATCAGGAGACCTGGGGCCTAGTCCTGTCTGGGTCATTACCTCCATTTCTTCCTCTCTCTGTTCTCTGGCCCTCTGTCTAATGATGGGGTTGACTAGATGTGATCTAAGGTCCCTTCATCCCCTGAAAGTCTCTGACTCTATAAGGACACAGCTGTGAGGTGGTGGGAAGAGGCCTGAATTGGGAGTCAGAGGACCCAGGCTTCAGTCCTGGCTCTGTGACTTACAAGCTGAAGGTTAGAGGCCTCTCTCTCCCATTTTCCTTTCTGTGAACTGAGGCAGCTGGGCTAGATTCTCTCCCAGCTCTCTTGCAGTTCTTACATTCTCTCCTCTGAAGTCCTGGGGAAGCTTGTTTTTGGGGGGATGTTTAGAGGCTAGTGGAGGGGAGGAAGACCACATCAGCTGGGCACAAAGCCACCATCCTTGCCCAGGATTTCCTGAATCCTGATGCCCTCATTGCTCCCATCCTACCCTGGGCCACAGGGATCAAAGACAAGGGTTTCCCTTCTCTGATTCCCAACATTTTGGGGCTTATTTTCAGAGAATCTCCACAGATCTCAGAAGACACTTACTGTGATTGTTGCTGTATTCTTGGTGATCTTCCTTGGTTCTCTCTTTGTGATTTATTTCTTCTGTAAAAGAAAACTACAGAGAACCAGAGGTAAGAGAAAAACTTCCCTCAGGCCTTTAGTCCTTCCATTACCCACCAGACCCTCTGATTATTGCTGTGAGAGGGATCTGAGGGTCCCTGATTTGCTGGACCAGGGCCCCTCCCTTGGTCTGGCCCTGGGCTGAGGGACCTGGGCATTGCTGGGATGACAGAGACTTCTGAGCAATCTCTATGTTGTGTTGGTTGTATGAAAGATGATTACCCACTAGGGGTCAGGAGGAGGATCTCTTAGGCAGAAATCTCTTAGCCATGTTCTCACCTCAGCCTAATCCTCCACATACCCCCATCCTACAACTGGTTTCTGGGTTACTTTCTAGGTCCAGGTGGAGAGATGGGGATTGCTGGGGCTGCCCTTTGCCAGGCAGCCTAATTCCCAGAGCTGTTCCCTTCAATCCCTGATTGTGGACCTGGTCTCAGGTACCACCAGCCCCAGTCCATCCCTGGATGTCCTAGTCTGCTCTTCCTTACTCTCAGGCACCATGACCCCGTCCGTACCCAGTCCCTTCCCCAGGCCTACCCATCCACAGGCTGACTCAAGGAATTTAGTCATTTGGAGTTGAGTAAATTGTTTCAATGAATGATTTCCAGGTGTGGGTTGAATGTTCCCTCATCTGAGTCTAACTTGTGAGAGAAATGATTATTTCTCTCTTATAATAATAGCTAATTATTAATTAATTGATTATTATAATATGGTAATAATTATAAATAACCTAGAAAATATAATAATGTGTCATTATTAATAATAATTAATTATTAATATTAATTGAGATTAAGATTTTTTCTATTTCCTCATTCAGAAACAAACTCATGTAGATTATACAGCCAGTCTTTGAATGACATTACTGACCTTGCCCAAAATTTTACCCCACCTAGACCATCTTATTTAGATGGAATTGTTCCCCCACCCAACTAGAAAACCTTACAAAGAGAATCTGATTTAGGTGAATTCCAGCCCATTATGTTCTACTCAGACAGGATTGGGTGGTGTTGGTGGGTGTAAAATCTTTTTACATAGATTGCTCAGGAGTGTTAAAGTCCTGTCCCCCAGTCCCTCATTAGAATAGGCTCACCTCTCCTTATAACATTCATTCTCTCCTTAATTGTTAACTAGATTTGATTTGGAAATACTCACTTTTCCATGGGTATATAAAGGTCAAGAGGCCTCCAGGAGGGGTCTTTGATTTACCAGAGAAAGCCAAGTAACCATCCTTTTATTAATTATTCACTAGTCATAATTAATAAAATAATTAGTACCCAGGAACTAAGTCTCTCCAACTTTTCATACATCACACTTGTCTGCTTACTGAAGCAGCCTGGTCCCAGGTGCCAGCTACTCTCCCTAGCCTTTTGGCAGCCCTGCTCTCATCACTGCCTCCCTGCCTCCAGCTTCTCTGTCTTGAAGGAGGCAGCCCCCCGCCCATGCTTCTGCCCTGGTAAACTGAGTCCCTGGGACTGAGGGAGGATAGCTGGGGCTTCCCCCAAGAGCCATATCCTGAAGGCAGCTGTAAGGTACTAGGAACCCAGGTCCTCCCGATTTGTCACCTGTTGCCAGAGCCTCTGTCCCTTCACTTGTCAGGCATTCTACCCCACCCTCTGCCAGAAAGATTTTTATTTGTCTATTTGAATTGATCTTTTCAATTCATATTTGTTTTAGAAAACAACTTATTTCTATTTTAAATGTTTCCTTAACATTTTATTTGTTTTTCATAAGTTTCATAATATCACTCATTTTTATCTTCTCTCTAACTTGGTTATTATGGAACCTTTTCCAATTTTGTTTTCATACATCCTGTCTGCATGACCCTGGGCTAGTCACTAGCAGAGGAGGCACAGACCAGCATTGCTATTGGAAATTCCTCCTCCAGAATTTCCTAGACCAATGAAATCCTAACCAATTCCCTTATCCTTTAAAAAAAAATCAGTTATATTTGCTTTTTAAATGTTCAATTATATTTTCAAACATTTAGCTTAAATCCATATTGTTTTAAATGGTTATTTCTTATTTTTTCATTTAAAAAGGTATTACATTTACTTTATCAAGATGTTACTAACCCTTATGAAACAATTGACTTTGTTTCATTGACAGCAGAGGTTTTTCAAAAAGACCAATTCCAGGAGGAGGACAGAGAAGCAGAAAGAACAGCAGGGACCTCCCTGCTTTCCCTGAGGACCTCCAGCTTCCCCAAGGACCTCCAGCTTCCCCAAGGACTGCCAACCAGACAATCTATCTCTCTTTACTGATACAGAAAGGGGAAGGTAGGGCAGCATGACCACAGAACAGCACCTATAAAACCCCCTTCTTTTGTGCCCTCTTTTGCTCCCTGGGAATTCCAGCAATGGTGGAAGGGTAGTCTTGCTCTTCTTCATGCCCCCGCCTCCAGCATCAAAGACAGTGGATTGTAGCTTATAGATGCCTTGGCCTGAGAACCAGAGAGAACCTGAAATCTCTGGCCACTTCTGCCATTCCATTTCCCTCTTGAGCACATTGTTGACTAATCCTCTGCAGAAGTGAGCATTTTACTCCCTTGGTACAATCGTGGAGGGTAGAGACTTCAGAATTTTGGATTTGGTTAAGAGCTGCCAAGAGTGAGGTGTCGGCAGAAGCACCCTGCTCCCAAGTAGGATGGCCACCTCCAAACTGAAGGACTACAGAGGGCCATGCCAGGCTAGCCAGGAGACCTGGACCCATCTACAAAGCCTCTCAGTATAGACCCAAAATTCATCTGAAATACCTGTTCAGAAGCTGTGTGACCTAGGACAAGTCCCTGTCTCTCTCTTATTCCCTTGCTTCATCTCTCAGTCTGTGAGAATAACCTGTGTGCCTCCCTCTCAGGTAGTCGGGAGGCTCACAAGACAAGCATGGCTGTGAAGGTGCTCTGTTAGCTGCCAGGTCTTAGAGAGACATCAGGGGCTATTGTTTTGTTCCTTGCCCATGAAGGTCTGCCTAGTACCAGCAGGGGGCGATTTGGCAAAGCTCCTAATATTAGGATTCCTTGTAATGGAACACTACTGTGCTGTAAGAAATGACAAGCAGGAGGACTTCAGAAAAACCTGGAAAGACTTGTCTGGACTGATGCTGAGTGAAGTGAGCAGAACCAGGAGAATGTTGTACACAGATACAGTCACATTATGCGGTGGCTAACTTTCATAGATTTGGCCCTTCTCAGCAATGCAAGGATCTAAGACATCTCCAAAGGACTCATGATGGAAAATGCTATCAACATCCAGAGAAAAAGCTATGGAGCCTGATTGCAAATGGAAGCATACCATTTGCTCTTTTTTTCCTTTCTGTTTTGTTTTGTTTCCTCTTTCTTGTGGTTCCTCCTATTGGTTCTAATTCTTCCTTACAACATCACTAATGTGAAAACGTTTGATAGGAATGTATATGTATAGCCTATATCAGATTATATGCTGTCTTGGGGAGGAAAGTGGGAGAGGGAGGGGGAGAAAATTGAAAACTCAAAAGCCTATGGAAGCGAATGTTGAAAACTAAAAATAAATTTATTTAAAAAAAAATTAAGATTCAGTTAAGCAGTGAAACCCAGAACAAACATTGAAGACAGAGTAGAGCAAACACCCAGATGGGTGAAGACTTGACTCTCTTTTCCCATTAGAATCCTAGAACCTCAGCAGGCCCCCAGAAAGGAGCTCAGGGGTGACCTAGCACAACCCCTGTCAGAAGAATGAAATCCCCTACCATCCAGCCTCTCCTTGAAGACCAGCAGTGATGGGGAGCTCACTACCTGTGAAGTTAGCCCATTCCCCCTTGGGGCAGCTTTGACCTATATGAGCCTAATCTTCCCTGCACTCTGAGCCCCCTCTTCCTTCTAGATCTGTGCCCTGGAGTCAGACAGAGCAATATGGAATCCCTGCCACAAGTCTCTCCACTCTAGTCCATCCTCCAATCAGCCACCAATGGGATTTTCCTAAAGTTTAGGCCTGACCATGTCACTCCCTCTCCACACACAATAAACTTCCGTGGTTCCCATCACTCCAGGATCAAATACAAAATGCTCTGTTTTCCTTCAAAGCCCTTGGTAACCAGCCCCCCTGCTCCCCTTTTCTTCTTCTCCCTCAAAGCCCCCGGGTCTTCTCCCAGTGACACTGGCCCTGAGCTGCTCCTCCAACAAGACAAGGAACCTCTCAGATTGGGGCCTTTTCTTTGGCCTCCAGGCCTGGACTGCTCTTCCTCCTCCTCCCTCCTCTTGTCTCCTCCTGGTTTCTCTGACTTCTTCAAGTCCAAGCTAAAATCCAGTCTCCTACAAGAAGTCTCTTCTGATCCTTCCAAATTCTAGCACCTTCGCTCCTGTGATTATTTCCTACTCACCCTAAAGATAGTGTGTTTGTGCATGCTTGTTTGCTTCTTCTCTCCCCCATTAGACTGGGAGCTTCCTGAGGACAGGGACTGGCTTTTGCTTTTCTTTGTATCCCCAAGCTTAGTGCAGTGCCTGGAACATATTGTTGTTCAGTCATTTCAGTCATGTCTGACTCTCTATGTCCCCATTTGGGGTTTTCTTAGCAAAGATACTGGAGTGGTTTGGTATTTCCTTCTCCAGCTCATTTTACAGATGAGAAAACTGAGGCAAACAGGGTAAGTGACTTGGCCAGGGTCACACAGCTAGTAAGTGCCCGAGGCCACATTTGAACTCAGGAAGATGAGTCTTCCTGACTTCGGGCAGGAGTCACTAGGCATGAGCCTTATTAAGCCATACCTTAGAGATTTCCCAGGAGTTCACTATGGTTTTGAGGCAGCGTCAGAGAGAAAAATCTCTTTGACAATCATCCCTGTCATTCCATGTATCCAGGTCACTAGGAGCCTAGAACACAGTTCCTTAGTGGGGAATCCCTGGGCTATAATTCACATCAAAATAACAATGTTTCCCATTTCTACAGGACTTTAAGTTTACAAAGAATTCCACCGCCACCCTCATCCCCCAACAATCTTGTAAGATATCAGATGGAAGTATTACTATGGGTATTGTACAGAGGGCCTTGATGGCTTCCAGAAAGGGGGCCGACTGTCCAGCCCTACACACGTACTCCAGCCAAGACCTGAAGTTCACCCCAGACCAAATAATGAGTAATAAATCCAAGGAGACCAGTAAAGCCAGTGCCAGCATAGGCAGACAGAACCAGTCGTGGTGATGTTAGGAACAACTTCTATAGGAAAAACAAAGACTCCAGAGGTAGATGAGGCAAGCTCATTTATTATAAGTTCTTGCAAGAAGCGGATGTGCTGCTAGAGGCAGACACACTCTACAGAAGGGAGAGCAAGCAGTTATATTCCTGTCCCAAAATGCAAGGTCCCTTTCTCATTTCCCAATTGGCTAGATACTTCAGTGTGTACAACTTCCCAGAATGCCTACTTCATATTACTCCTTAATATGTTCCTCCGTCCTTCTACATACAACATTGTGCCTAGAATTGTGTTAATCCTTCCCCCCTCCCCAGGAGAAGTTACTATGCATAGACTCATTAAACAAATGCAGTTTGAGCAGTTTGTAACCTTTGTCCTGCTTCTTCACTTCTAACCAGGCTACTACTGTCAGTTGGTTTTGTCTGTTAGCAAAACCACTATTTCCGCCACTGTGGCAACCTCTGAATTCTATTATTAGTATCACTTCCTCTACATCTGTGGAAACATAATATCTTATACTTTACCATGATGCAGTTTAGGGGTACTGGAAACCCCAAAATGCCAGGGTACAGCACACTGTTGCCTGGAAAGAATCCACCTACTCAAGCCATCTTCTAGTTATGTGGCAAAGTGTATTGCAATGCTAATAAAGCAGGTCAAGTTCTTAAGGAGCCTGCAAACTGAAAGGGGTGAAGCTAAAGCTTATATAGAAAAAGGGATAGTCAAAAGAATTCCAAATATGCTAATTAGATGGTCTGGGGCAGGATTAAGGAGTGGTCAGTATTCAAAGGAATATGCAAGAAGTTTTGGTGCCTTGAGCTCAGGCACTAGTAGTCTGGACACCTGCAATGTAAGGGAAAATTCAGGGAGTCAAGAGAGATAGCTCTGCTGATACCAGACTTTGGGGGAGAAAGAACAAGATAGTTCTGATAACACAAAAGGTTGCCAGAGGCATGGTCCTTGGGCCTGTGCCTGTGCCTGCACTGAGAGTTTTTATCTGCAGGATTACAGGGTCAGGTATGGATGTGCCTGCAATAAGGAGAGAATTTCCTACAGGGGTCCACTGAGACACTGGATTACTTCCAGAGACACGGTCTTTTCCTTTCGGGGTCCAGGTCCCATCACCCCATCAATGGAATACAGATGTATGTTAACTGCAAGGTTTTGTGTTTGAAAGTCACAAGAATGGAGGCCCTCTGACAAAAACCCAGGGTGATCAGAAAGACCCAGAGTGAAGACTTTGGATGCCTTAGGTAATAGAATGAACTGAGCAGCAGGAAGGTGCTCATTACTGGACAGCCCAGGCACCAAGGTTGTTCTGAGAAAGCCAGCCCTCTGTCCTGGATCCATGAAGATCCAGCACTCTGAGCTTCAAAGATTCAGGAGGTGGAATGCAGTTCAGGAATACAGAGGATTGAGCAGTTGATTGGTTCATTAGCTATGAGCTTTCTCTCTTCCACCCTCCCCCAAAATAGGTTAGGAAAAGAACATGATTGGCCCAAGGGTGGGACCAGGCTCAAGCATGACTCAGCATCCTAGGAGGCTCTGGCTATGCTCATGTGTCTTCTTCTTCAGTTAAGGGCATAAAAAGTCCCACCCACCCAGGTGAGATCAGGGGCCCTACCACTTGGAAGACTGTAGACTAGAAGAGTTATCATTCTATGCCCTGCTGACCAGATCTGCTTCCATGTGGAGACAACATGAGTAGAGGGTAGGGGATGTCTACGGAAGTTAGGTGCTATTCTATCCTTGCTGTATCTCCTTGCTATGTTAAACTAAGTAAACTTGCTTTTGTTAACTGTTCAATGACTTCCCAGTGCCTTATTTTATTCCAATATCAAACCTGAACCAACAGAGTGTTGCTTTCAGGCTTAGCTCTAACACTAGTATAGACAGAAATTGGAATGAAATGAGGTGGCTTCATGGATTACATCATGGTTTAGTTATAGCAAAGCCAGTGTGAATACAGAGGGTGGGGTACTCAAGGATCGGCAGATAGGGCACCGTGGAAGTGATGGCAGTGGAACAAGGAGAAACTCCCATTCATGCAGAATGATTAGGTCCATGGTGCTGAAGGTGGCTGCCAGAGAGAGAAGAGAGAACATATTTCCTAGCATTCTCTTGTCATTGTTCACCATCCTGCAGAAATTGGACTGCCAACAGAATCAGATTGAAATCTTTTTTTTAACCTCACTATCTTCCTCTGAATATGGACCCAGATCTTCTTTCACACCATAGTAGCTCTCTGTGGTTGGGTTCTTTCTCCTTTGCTTCCTGGTTTTTAATTTGTTTTGCTTTATTTTATTTTTATCTGCTTATTATTATAATTAGGTTTTAATCCTGAGTTGTGGGTAATGGTGCCCCAGGCCTCAGGTCCTTCTTATTGTTATGTTCTGAATCCTGTCTAAGGGACTCTGGCACTCTTCTAACCTCCCTAAGCCATGGTCAGGGTTTCTAGCCATGCTGTCCTCAAGATGCTCTTGCTTCCTGCAATCACACTTACTGGGCATGTGCTTGCTCCTCCTTGCCCACAGCAGTAGCCTGGAATCATGTTTGGTCAGCACTGCTAGGCCTGGCATCCAGAGGAAGAGGACAAATGTTTGAGGAGATGTGGAAAAATTGGGAAATCAATTCACTGTGAGAGGAACTGTGAACTGATCCAACCATTTTGGAGAGCAATCTAGAATTATGTCCAAGAGGTTATTAAACTCTTTGACCCAGCAATATCACTACTAGGTCTATTTCCAAAGATGACTAGAGAAAGAAGAAAAGAACCCATATATTCTAAAATACTTATAGCAGCTCTCTGAGTGATAGCAAAGAACTGAATATTGTAGGCATGCCTATCAATTGGGGAATGTCTGAATAAGTTGTAGTGTATGATTGTGATACCATGCTACAAGAAATGATGACCTCAGTGATCTTAGAAAAACACAGATAGACTTGTATGAAATAATGAAGAGTGAAATGAATAGAACCAGGAAAACATCATATATAGTTAACAACAATATTGTTTAAAAGCAACTTTGAGAGAACAAGTCATTTTGATGAGTATAAATACCCAAATTAACTACAAAGGATCTATGAAGGAATACACCATCTGTAGTTATATATGTAATATATATACACATATATGTATGTTTGTATTTGTTTCTAATAATAGCCTTGGTGGGGAAGAAAAAATGAATATTACATATAACTTTATTATATATTATATATTTAAAATGTAATATACAAATATACAATATGAAATATATAGTTAAAAGGAATAGCAAGTTGTACATAATAAATTTGCAGTTTCTTGTGCAATCATTTTTTCCTATTTTACTATGTTATAGAAATGCTGGTTTTATTTCTTAAGTTCAAAATAAAATAAATAAAAGTTAAAAAAGAAGGTAAAAAAAAAAAACTAAAAATGAACTGTCCTAGCACATTTAACAAGCAAAGGCAGAGCTTTTTTTATGGAGTGCACAGGGAGGGGCCTAGGAGCAGCTGGGCTGAGCTTGTTTGGACACCCCAACAAGACTGTTCTAATGCAGGAGTGGTTGATTATCCTTCAGGTAGAGTAGCCACCTTGCTCTCCTGCTCTCTTCTTTTACCCATGTACATGGAGGCTCCGATTGGAATCAATTGGATCCAATAATATTTATCAGTAGAGTATAAGCTACTTCATGGCAAAGAATATTTTGTTTTTGCCTTGTATTCCAGGACCTCACACAGGACAGACAGATGGGAGAGAGGGAGAGAACAAATAGACATCCATGGGAGAAGGCTGTGGTTGGGGGCAAAAGGGCCTAGGAGATGAGAAGTAGAAAAGTATGTTGGGAGAGGAGGAAGGTCAGGAAGCTTTGAGGATGATGCCAGTGAACTTACCTAACCACTGAATTTCAGCATCTCAGGGTTGGGAAAGTCAGACTGTGTCTGAGCAAGAATCCTCTCCTACTCTGTGTTAACATCACCTTTTGGTATTCAACCTTGTTCTGCTGTGTGATTGTGATCATGCACAAATGCCTCACCTGTCTCATGTAATGTATTCATCACTCACACAGTCAGAGAAAATGAATTGCTGTCACCCTATTCAAAGCAAGCACCCAAAGTGAAGTTCAGAATCAGGGACCCTCTACCCAAAGCACTTGATATACTAGGCACAGATTAGTTGACCTGTGCATTGGGTAGAATGGAAACTCCATGAGGGCAGGGGCTGTTTCATGCTTTTTCTTCCCATAGGCAGACCCTCTCATGGGACCTGGCACATAATTGGTGCTAAATAAATGATTGCAATCATTTGACATCTCAAGGTCTGCCAGCAGGCACTCCTGGGTCTGCTCAGGATAACCTCAGGAGAGCTAATCTTTAAGGGATAGACAGAGAGTCTGGGGATATAAAAAAACACAAAACCACAGTCCTTGTCCTAAAGGAGCTCTCATTTTCATTGAGGAAATACCATGCAAATACCTAAGAAAACACAATATATATGAAGAGTAGACAAAAGGAAATTTTAGAGGGGAAGGCACTAGCAGCGGGGAGGAGCAGTGGGGAGGGGGAGGAAGGTGAGATTAGAAAATTGCAGCACCTAAGACCTAGTTAGACCTAGCAGCAGCACCTCAGAAGCCATGGAGCACAAAGCAATGACTTCATTTTTCCCAGATGGGGAAACCAAGCCAAGAGTTTGGGTGACTTGCCCAGGGCCACACAGGAATAAGCAGCAGAGTTGGGATCTGGTACTTCATTAGATGGGAAGCCTGGTTCTGTGCTTTCAAGCTGGGAAGAGGTTGACTCACCAACTTGGCACTCTCCATGTCCATCTCAGAGTTCCCCTTAATGTCCCAAATCCTGGATGAAGACTGAAGACCCAAGAATTTGATCAAGGTAAGAATTAAAGTCCTTAGAAAAATTTTTTTTGAAAATGTAAATGGTTTATTGGAAAGAAAACTAGGGGAAAAATTTGTAAAGAAAGTTTCTCTGATAAAGGTCTCATTTCCCAAATATAGAACGAACTGAGTCAAATTTATCAAAACAAAAGCCATTCCCCAATTGATAAATGATCAAAGGAGAGATCAAAGTTATCAATAGACACATGAAAAAGCGCCCCAAATCAGGGCAGCTAGGTGGCACAGTGGATACAGCACCAGCCCTGAAAGTCAGGAGGACCTGAGTTCAAATCTGGCCTCAGACCAACACTTGACACTTACTAACTGTGTGACCCTGGGCAAGTCACTTAACCCCAATTGCCTAAAAACTAAAAAAAAAAAAAATTCCCCAAATCACCAATAATTCGGGAAATGCACATCAAAACAACTCTAAGCTACCACCTTATACTTATCAGATTGGCCAACATGACAAAAAAAGGAAAATGATAAATGTTGGAGAAGATGTGGGAAAACTGTAACACCAATGCATCATTGGTGGAGCTGTGAACTGATCCAACCATTCCAGAGAACAACTTGCAACCATGCCCAAAGGGCTACAAAACCATGTATACCCTTTGACCCAGCAATACCACCATTAGGTCCGTATCCCAAAGACAGCTAAGAAAAAAGATGTGGACCTATATGTACAAAAATATTTATAGCAGCTTCCCTTGTGGTAGCTAAAAATGGAAATTGAGGGGAGGCCCCTCAATTGGGGAATGGCTGAACAAGCTGTGGTACATGAATGCAATGGAACACTACTGTGCAACAAGAGATGACAAGCAGGATGGTTTCAGAAAAACCCAAAAGGACTTCCATGAATTGATACAAAGTGAAATGAACAGAACCAGAACACTGTACACAGTAACAACACTGTGTCATGATCAACTATAAATTACTTAGCTACTATGATTGATACAATTCCAAAGGACTCATGACAAAAAATGCTATCTACCTCCAGAGAGAGAACTGATGGACTGAGAATGCAGATTGAAATAAACTTTTTTCACATTTTATATTTTTGTTTTTTGCAACATGACTAATATAGAAATGTTTTACATGATCTTACATGTATATCATATTGCTTATCTTCTCAGTGGGTAGGGGAGGGGCTGGAGGGAGAGAATTCATAACTTAAAAAACTTTTTAAATGATTGTCAAAAATAAATAAATTTATTTAAAAAAAAAAGACAAGAAAATGCAATTCATCCCTAAAGGAAAGTGATTTTGCAGATAAAGGACCCTAGGAGTTGCTGCTGGGACTCCACACAAGGTTAAGAAAAGCAAAAAGCAAAACCCCAATTAGAGTTGGAAAACAGGACCCTAAAGGAAGTGATGGAAATGCTGATTCTCCCCTTTACCAGAACTCAGGCTCAGGCTCCTCCCCTACTTCACTGCATGACCTTGGACAGGTCCTTTCCTCTCTTTGGGCCTTAAACATTCCTATTGGTATGTAGCCTGCAGGGATTTCTTATCACTTCCCACACAGGCTTTCCTGACCAGCATTCAACCACTCAAAACCACAATTCAGAAGTCCCTGGCACAATTTCTGTGTTTAGTAAGTCAGACTGAACACACAAACACACACACATCCCAACATTTCTCCATTCACACATGGGGTACATCCCCCATAGGTTATCCCAACACCAGTGGAGAGGGCACACATGCAGAGAACACATAGAAACAGGGACTGCACATGCAAGGCAAATATGTCAGAAAACACACCAAGTACACATGGGAACATGCCTGGAGGACACACGTGGTCAGGTGAACTCTCACCTGCTACCGTAGTACCATCAGTGCCCTCTGGAGATGTCCCAAGAAGTTATCTGCTGAGCATCAAGTCTGCCAGGCATGATATCTCTTCTCCCTTCAGGGCTGCTGATTGCTGGGTGCAGTGACTGAAATGTCTCTCCCTGGCAAGGGAGGCTCCATTCAATTTTCTCCAGAGGTCAAACATATTTAACTTTTCTAAGATTCTATTGATCTCCTTAACTTCTTTCTTCTTTATTTTGTGGTTAGATTTATCTAGTTCAGAGAGGAGGTTGAAGTCTCCCACTAGTATAGTTTTGCTATTTCTTCCTGTATCTCCCTTAACTTCTCCTTTAAGAATATGACTGCTATACCACTTGATGCATATATGTTTAGTAATGATATTGCTTCATTATCTATGGTACCTTTTAGCAGGATGTCATTTCCTTCCTTACCTCTTTTAATTAGATCTATTTTTGCTTCTGCTTTGTCTGAGATACAGATTGCTACCCCTGCTTTTTTTTTTTTACTTCAGCTGAAGCATAGTATATTCTGCTCCTGCCTTTTACCTTTACTCTGTGTGTATCCCTCTGCACCAAATGTGTTTCTTATAGACAACATATTGTAGGTTTATGATTCTTAATCCACTCTGCTATCCATTTCCATTTTATGAGAGTTCATCCCATTCACATTCACAGTTATGATTACTAACTGTATCTTCCTCTCCATCCTATGCCCCCCTCCCCAATTTATGCTTTTTTCTCTCCCTTTTCCCTTTCCCTCCTCAGTAGAGTTTTGCTTTCAACCACCACCTCCCTCAATCTACCCTTTCTTCTATTAGCCCTCTCCCTTTTCTTTTCCCTTTACCTTTTCTACTTACTATAGAGTAAATTAGATTTCTATACCTAACTGATTGTGTTATTCCCTCTTTGAACCAAATCTGATGAGAGTAAGGTTCAAACAATGCTCATCTCCCTCCCTTCTTTCCCTCTACTGTATTTGTTTTTTGTGCCTTTTCATGTGATGTAATTTATCCTTGTCTGCTTCCTCCTTTCTTCTTCTCCCAGTACAATCCCTTTTCACCACTTAATTAGATTTTTTACCATCACATCAAAGTCAACTTAAACCTATGCCCTCTAAGTATACCCCCTTTTAAATGTCATAATGACATTACAGTTCTTAAGAGTTACAAGTGTCATCTTCCCTTGTAGGGATGTAAACAGTTTGCTCTTATTAATAGTATGTTGGGTTTTTTTTTCTTTCCTATTTATCTTTTTATGCTTCTCTTGAGTCTTGCATTTGAAGGTCAATTCTGTTGAGCTCTGGGCTTTTCATCAAGAAGGTTTAGAAGTCCCTTATTTTGTTGAATATCCGTCTCCTCCCCTGAAAGATTATGCTTAGTTTTGCTGGGTAGTTGATCCTTGGTTGTAATCTAAGCTTCTTTGCCTTATGGAATATTGTATTCCATGCCCTCAAATCTTTTGATGTAGAAGCTGCAAGGTAATCCTGACTGGGTTCTATGATATTTAAACTGTTTCTTTCTGGCTGCTTGCCATATTTTCTCTTTGATCTGGTGGTTTTGGAATTTAGCTACTATACTCCTTGGCGTTTTCAATTTGGGATCTCTTTCAGGAGGTGATTGGTGGGTTCTTTTGATGACTAATTTACCCTCTGGTCCTAGGACCTCAGGGCAGTTTTCTTTGATGATTTCCTGAAGGATGTTGTCCAGGCTCTTTTTCTCATCATGGTTTTCAGGTAGACCAATAACTTTTAAATTGTCTCTCCTGGATCTATTTTTTTAATATATATATATATATATATATCTTCTTAACTAATTTATTTTGATTTATCAACAATCACTTCCATAATCTTTTGAATTTTAAATTTTTCTTCCCCTCCCTCCCCACCTCTCTCCCCAAGACAGATTGCGATCTGATATAGGCTATACATATACATTCCTACTAAACATATTTTCACATTATTCATGTTGTAAGGAAGAATTAGAACCAATAGGAGGAACCATCAGAAAGAGGAAACAAAACAAAACAGAAGGAAAAAAAGAGCCAGTAGTATGCTTTGATCTGCATTCAAACTCTATAGTTCTTTCTTCGGATGTGGATAGCATTTTCCATCATGAGCCCTTTGGAGATGTATTAAATCCTTGCATTGTTGAGAAGGGCTAAGTCTATCAACATTAGTCATCTCATAACATGACTGTTACTGTGTACAATGTTCTCCTGGTTCTGCTCAATTCACTTAGCATCAGTCCATACAAGTTTTTCCACATTTTTCTGAAATCTGCTTGCTCATCATTTCTTATAGCACAGTAGTATTCCATTGCATTCATATACCACAACTTGCTGGATCTATTTTCCAGGTCAGTTGTTTTACCAATGAGGTATTTTACATTTTCTTATATTTTTTCATTCTTTTGTTTCTCTTTGACTGATTCTTGCTCTCTCATAGAGTCATTAGCTTCCACTTGCCCCATTCTAATTTTTAAGGAGTTGTTTTCTTCTATTAGGTTTTGTACTTCCTTTTCCATTTGGCCCATTTTACTTCTTTTTTTTTTTTTAGGCAATTGAGGTTAAGTGACTTGCTCAGGGTCACACAGCTAGTGTTATGTGTCTGAGGCCAGATTTGAACTCAGGTCCTCTTGACTCCAGCGCCCGTGCTCTGTCCATTGCACCACCTAGCTGCCCCACAGATAATTATTAAGGCATTTTTTTCTAGCCCCTTCCTCACACCAGGAAGTGGCAGTGCTATCCTAAATGACTGCTCAGACACCCCGGGGGCTGCCAAATCCCACTGCTCTTCCAGTGAGAAACAATCCTATGGCCTGGGTCACCTGTGTGCAGGATTTTGAGTACAGCTCCCAGAGTATCTGTACCTGCTGCTTCATCACTTGCTTGTTACCACAGGACTTTGATATAGGTAAAGCCGTAAAATGGTATGGGTGATGTCCTTTGATTCATGCGTAAATTGGATTTATGTGAGGCAGAGTTGCACAGAGTCGTCAGCCTCACTCTCTCCTCTAGAGTCATCACAGTCCAGTGGCAGGACTGGTATCTTCAATGTCTAACCAAGCACTAAGCACTCCTCAGCGCCTGCTTCAGCCACCTTCATGGCCGTTGGAACAAATTGTTCTCATCCTCCCATTCCACCAGAGGAATTCTTCACATGCTTGGGGTAGACACCCCCCTAACT